TTTTTAAATGTTATCAATGCACACATATGTAGACATATAAATATTTATATGGAAACGTATTGCCGAGTCAGTGAATAGAAATGGGAATAGAAATGATGTGCCCTGGGAATCCTCTCTGTGTGACTGAACTTTCAAATCAGGAGAAAACTTTTTTTTCCCCGTCTCTGTCCCTGTGACTAATGGGGAAAGGTCAGTTTTTCAGATAACATAAGCAGAAAGGGATTTTGATTCTTCCTTGCTTTACAGAAAGGAAGAGATGAGAGACATCAGAAGGTTTGCTGGCTTAAACCTGTAACAGTTTTCTTGACTCTCAATCTAGTCTTAATCTACAGTATGGAAAAGGTAAAAAGTTATAAGGTTAGCTAGTAGAAATAGAAGAAATTAAAGTAGTAAATTTAAGAGAAACTCTGAAGATAATCCGGATGATGGAGAGAAAGGCTACAGATTGAACTGTGGAATTATTGGTATTCCCTTAAACCACAAGAGTAGGGCAGAAGACTGCCTGGTAGAAATCCAATCAGGAAGGGTTAAAGGTCTTTGGTCAAAGTCGTACCCTGTATTTGCCTCTCAGTGCTGCCCGGACATTGCACCCGACCTTATGATTCCAAAGAAAAATAGTTTAATTATAAAAATAACATAACCAGTAAATGCGAGCAGAGCCATATATATCCTGTGTATGTGTTTGTGTGCTCAGTCGCTCAGTTGTGTCCGACTCTTTGTGACCCCATGGATTGCAGACTGCCAGATTCCTCTGTCCACGGTATTTTCTGGGCAAGAGTACTGGAGCAGGTAGCCATTTCCTTCTCCAGGGTATCTTCCTGACCCAGAGATGGAACCTACATCTCCTGCATTGCTGGTAAATTCTTTACCACTCTACTACTGGGAAACCCCTACCTGGCCTAGGAAACACTCATTGTTGCTTTTGTGTCTCTGCAACTATTAACATAAAGGGCCGGCTCAATGCTGAATTAAATATCTGGTCATTTTATATATTTCTTTTATCCGAATTAAAAAAAAAATAGTAACTTTAGCCCTGACACATTGTCCTCTGCCCAAGGCATACCACAGACCCTGGAATAGCCAGGACTGCCAGGGAATTGAACCGAGCAGAGCCTGACACTCACTAATGTGAGGGCCAAAGATTTTTGCCGGATTGGTTCATACTGGCCTCACCTGTGGATTACAGCAGTTCTGATATGCCTTTTAAAAGCAAGGAAAACTTTTGAATTATTTCCACCGGAGAAAAATTCTCTATTTTTAAAGTATATTGAAAGGCATACTTTTATCGGAAACGTAAATAACCACTTGCTTTTCCACAAGTCACCTTCATCATTGGTATTCATTTCATGATGAGAATTCTTTGAACAAATGAAGGTCAAAGCTTCCCTAGGCTCTTCTCATGAGGAAAACTATTATTTTTTTAAATGTTATCAATGCACACATATGTAGACATATAAATATTTATATGGAAACGTATTGCCGAGTCAGTGAATAGAAATGGGAATAGAAATGATGTGCCCTGGGAATCCTCTCTGTGTGACTGAACTTTCAAATCAGGAGAAAACTTTTTTTTCCCCGTCTCTGTCCCTGTGACTAATGGGGAAAGGTCAGTTTTTCAGATAACATAAGCAGAAAGGGATTTTGATTCTTCCTTGCTTTACAGAAAGGAAGAGATGAGAGACCTCAGAGATGAGAGACCTGCTGGCTTAAACCTGTAACAGTTTTCTTGACTCTCAATCTAGTCTTAATCTACAGTATGGAAAAGGTAAAAAGTTATAAGGTTAGCTAGTAGAAATAGAAGAAATTAAAGTAGTAAATTTAAGAGAAACTCTGAAGATAATCCGGATGATGGAGAGAAAGGCTACAGATTGAACTGTGGAATTATTGGTATTCCCTTAAACCACAAGAGTAGGGCAGAAGACTGCCTGGTAGAAATCCAATCAGGAAGGGTTAAAGGTCTTTGGTCAAAGTCGTACCCTGTATTTGCCTCTCAGTGCTGCCCAGACATTGCACCCGACCTTACGATTCCAAAGAAAAATAGTTTAATTATAAAAATAACATAACCAGTAAATGCGAGCAGAGCCATATATATCCTGTGTATGTGTTTGCGTGCTCAGTCGCTCAGCTGTGTCCGACCCTTTGTGACCCCATGAATTGCAGACTGCCAGATTCCTCTGTCCACGGTATTCTCTGGGCAAGAGTACTGGAGCAGGTAGCCATTTCCTTCTCCAGGGTATCTTCCTGACCCAGAGATGGAACCTACATCTCCTGCATTGCTGGTAAATTCTTTACCACTCTACTACTGGGAAACCCCTACCTGGCCTAGGAAACACTATTTTGTGGGAAAGTCTGAGAAGTTGGGTGGAATTGGGTCACAAATAAATAACGGTGTCATCCTGGAAAAGAAAATGGTTTATGTGTCGAATGGCTGACTTGAGCCTGCAAACTTCAAAGCAGATCTTATGTCTCGTTAGTCTGTGGCTTCTCCCCTGCCTTTGTTAAGGGGCAGTATCAGGCAGAGGTGAAAAGGAAATGTACCATATTGTTGTTTTCATCTGGTCTAGCATGGGCCATAGTAGAAAATTTCAAATGCCTGGACCCCAGGTCTGAGATAAGGTGGGATTCTTATGCTCTTGGAGCTTCATAGGAGGAATAGAAAGTCTCCAAAGACTAAGGTTTGGATCGATGACCTTCCTTTGCATTACTTCAAGGGACTGGGACCAGTCAAGAGTATGGGGGTTCAAAAACATGAACAATAACAATAAAGCATTTATATCTCCCTTACACATCAGCATTTAATGGTTCTGGTCCCAGAACCACACATAATCTTCACAAAAAAACCAGGAGGACCAATAGGAACTATTAATCCTTTTCAAGACATGTGCAAACTAAGGCTCAAAGGATTGTATATTATTTGTGGCAGGTCAAACCGTAGGTGGCAAGATTAGAGAATCCAAATTTCTGAACTGATGCAGTTCTCTTTTGCATTTTATTAAGTAGCCATCTTAAAATGAATCAAAATCAAAAACTGCAATTAATGCAAAAATTTCCAAAAGGCATCACCTCAGATTTTAAGGAAATTATGAGTTTAAAGTTGATCTTTCATTTTAAATAGTTTTTCCCAGTGGAAACAGATGAGGCTGCCTGGTCTTAATGTCTAGCTTATTCTCATTCCTATTTCTAGTGATTACAAACAAATAATGTTTTCAAATTTCAATTTTAAAGTTAATAAAATGGAGAGCATCTGGTAATGGGTTCTGATAACATTCTAAAATTAAATAGAGGAGGGAGGAAGTTCAAAAACAGGCTAGGCAAACTCTTTGATGGTCACTTGATACTTTTATGGTCACTTGCAAAATGATGACAGTAGTAGCTATTAAGAAATAACTGCTTCCTGTACCCTGAAAACACCTATTTCAGGTAAGAAGCAAAGCTATTAACAGCAATGGCAGTAACAGTTGTGACAATCTCCCTACAGTATCAGGAACACATCTATAGGGCATGTCCCTGCCAAGCTGTGTTTAACTTGGGCATGATCTTTCTTTTGGTAGGTCCTCTCATTTGTAAGTGAATGAACTTGAATAAAGCTAATTAGGGCTAAATGCAATTATGAAAGGTGTCAGTGAGTGCTAAAGTGTTCCATTTTTATAAGCCGAGGTGGCTCAATGGTAGAGTCTGCCTGTCAAGCAGGAGACACAGGTTCTATCCCTGGATCAGGAAAATCTCTGGAGAAGGAGATGGAAACCCACTCCAGTATTCTTGCCTGGAGAATGCCATGGACAGAGGAGCCTGGTGGGCTGCAGTCCATGGGGTCACGAAGAGTCAGACAAGACTTAGAGACTAAACAATAACAACAATGCTCTTTGCATTCTGAGACTCTTATAAACTTATAGGACCCAGAGCCTTTAAGCTACGTAGTGTCTTTAATTAACTCAGTGGTTAAATACAGAATTACTCTCCTGGCAGATGAGCCCAGCACGAAACATGGTTTGTCTAATTGCTGCACACATAAAGACTGATAAGGCACAAAAGAGACTAAAACAGATAACTCTCAGAACTCCTTAGTTACCATTAAGTCAGTAGGTTCAGTGAGGAAAAGAAATGCAGAAAATCATTTTTAAAGTCCTTAAAGATATTCATATGTCTTATCAGACAGCCTGAACAGTATTTCTTACTTTAAAAGTGTACATGTCAAAATCAAGCAAACAATCCTTATAAAATTATTTAAAATCTCCCAGAAGAGTTTTCCATTAATTTGAAGAATGTGTATGTCCCACACACACACGTGTGTGTGTGTGTGTATATATATATACACACACATACATACATGTCTATACATATACATATACACACATACATACATACATTATATATAAACATATCTCAGTAGACAGTCATCATTAGTACTATAACTGTATTGATGTTTTTCCCGGAGGTAAATGGATATTGTATATAATCTCTAGGTTTGTCTTTCTCATGAATTTGTTCCCCTTGCAAGCAAGATAACTTCTGTCCTAAACCATGAAAAATAGTGTGTATTGTATAAAACCCAATTCACATTAGTTGAGAAAATAAAACTGTATCTTTAACCCTTGGGAGGACAGAGGAATGATGTAACAAAATAAACAGCACTGCTATGTTCAAAAGGGGCTGGGCTGACAGAAAGATCAACAATTAGAGCTCAGCATTTCCAGTGACTTACTGCTTGGAAAACTAGGGATAACTGGACTTGGATTATCTAACAAGCCTGTTACTGAAATGACTCTTTAAATTTGGTGAAATAAAGGAGACTTTCTCATGTTTGAGGGCTTTGCACAAATGCAATAATGCTAACCATGAAAACAAGATCCTTCTTTTTTCACTTTGGAATGTTATTCGAAATATAACATGAAATAAAATAATTCACGAGGCTATTGATTTAAAAAGAAAAATAGTGTGTATAACATTATGAGCATGTCTTCCATCTGACATTTGAAGTGGGTGAAGTTAAAATTTCTTACCATCCAAGCTGTGACAAAGTCCCCCATCCAGGTCCCTACTGCAGCTAATTTCATGAAACTTTCATTTCGGATGCCCATATAGTCTGTAATGATATATGCTCTGTGGAAACAAACACACAAGACATTGTCCAGACTCAGAGAACCATACAGTCAAAGCTTTCTGGTTCAGCAACACTCAAAAGGGAATTTTCCCCCTTTTAACAAACTTTCTTGCTTTTGTCTCACCAGATGTGCTTATAAATCTGAAAGGCAAAGAGGACCTCTGAGGGTGTCTGGGTCAGTTCCAATTAGATTTGAAAACTGACTGTGGCTACACCAATTACCATGTGCCTTTCATTTTTGAGCTGCAGGACTGACAACAGCTTTTGGAAAATCAAACAGAAATACTCAGCAAAGGCATCATTCCATGCTCACTCAAGTATGAGGGGAGCAGAAACAATTCCTGAATTAGAGTTAACTAGAAATTGTATTGATGTTTTTCCCGGAGGTAAATGGATATTGTATATAATCTCTAGGTTTGTCTTTCTCATGAATTTGTTCCCCTTGCAAGCAAGATAACTTCTGTCCTAAACCATGAAAAATAGTGTGTATTGTATAAAACCCAATTCACATTAGTTGAGAAAATAAAACTGTATCTTTAACCCTTGGGAGGACAGAGGAATGATGTAACAAAATAAACAGCACTGCTATGTTCAAAAGGGGCTGGGCTGACAGAAAGATCAACAATTAGAGCTCAGCATTTCCAGTGACTTACTGCTTGGAAAACTAGGGATAACTGGACTTGGATTATCTAACAAGCCTGTTACTGAAATGACTCTTTAAATTTGGTGAAATAAAGGAGACTTTCTCATGTTTGAGGGCTTTGCACAAATGCAATAATGCTAACCATGAAAACAAGATCCTTCTTTTTTCACTTTGGAATGTTATTCGAAATATAACATGAAATAAAATAATTCACGAGGCTATTGATTTAAAAAGAAAAATAGTGTGTATAACATTATGAGCATGTCTTCCATCTGACATTTGAAGTGGGTGAAGTTAAAATTTCTTACCATCCAAGCTGTGACAAAGTCCCCCATCCAGGTCCCTACTGCAGCTAATTTCATGAAACTTTCATTTCGGATGCCCATATAGTCTGTAATGATATATGCTCTGTGGAAACAAACACACAAGACATTGTCCAGACTCAGAGAACCATACGGTCAAAGCTTTCTGGTTCAGCAACACTCAAAAGGGAATTTTCCCCCTTTTTACAAACTTTCTTGCTTTTGTCTCACCAGATGTGCTTATAAATCTGAAAGGCTGAGAGGAGCTCTGAGGGTGTCTGGGTCAGTTCCAATTAGATTTGAAAACTGACTGTGGCTACACCAATTACCATGTGCCTTTCATTTTTGAGCTGTAGGACTGACAACAGCTTTTGGAAAATCAAACAGAAATACTCAGCAAAGGCATCATTCCATGCTCACTCAAGTATGAGGGGAGCAGAAACAATTCCTGAATTAGAGTTAACTAGAAACAAAGAGAAGAGCTTACTTTCCTCCAGTTCTGTCTTCTCAAAGTAAGAACTATTGAAAAGATGCTGGGAGTAAGTTATAAGTATAATGTCATATCTGAATAATGTTCAGAAGAAAGTCAAGATTTGAGAAAAAATTTCCATGTAGGGAAGTGATGTAAAATTTTACTTAAATATGTGTGACTTAAATTATTATTTAATAGCAATGGCCAGATTCCACTCCATCACTCTTTTGGCATAACTAGTTATTCTTTGCTTGCTATTAAACACAAGTTTATATTCCTCACAGCTCAAAGAAAGGTTCAAAGGTACACCCGACTATTAAAAACAGGTAATAAGATCATGCTTATTGCTTATTAAGCATCTTCATTTTCTCATTTGATAGTCAAGAAAATTGTAAATATCATTTTTCCCATTTGTAATTTCACTAAGAAAACTGGGATTCAAAAATATCACTTACCCTGCCCAATCAATACCACCTGACTAATGAATGGTACCTAGGAGCCAAATTTCTCTGTACATATTTTTTAATTCTAAGTATTTTTTTTACTCAGTTTTCTTTTACTTTAAATTTTGTTCCTTTTCTTAAACATGATAATACCTATACAACTTAGAGTACCCATTGAACATAATTCTTCTTAGATTAACTTTAAAACAATATGCAGTAGATAAATATTCATTAGTTATCTATTAAAACTATGAAGAAGCACATTTTTTAAGTCATTGAGAGTAAAGCTGCTTCCAATTCAGTTATTTTTTTCTGGAGTTATTTAAGATAGTTTTTTAAATCTGATATTTAAATACACAGATATTTAACAACAAAAAACAAACATGAATTCTTAAAACAACTCTTTTCCCATGTGCTTCATCTACTTACTTTGGAGGGGCTATGTAAATATCTTAAGTTCTCATCTCAAAATTCTGGGTCTTATTCCATGCATTTCCATAGCAGCCAAAAAAAAAAAAAAAAAAACTTTAGCTACCAAAAACTGCATGCTAGCAATGTGCCAGAGATTGCTATTAGCATTTTAAAAATACAGTCCCCAGCAACTTTCATATCAGAACAATGAAATGTATTGTTATTCCCATTTCAGAGATATGGAATTAAGGCTTTAGAGAGTTTTTGCAACTTTCTCAAGTTTGAGCATCCAATAAATGGACAAGATTTGAATATACATTTGATTGACTCCTAAATCCATGTACTTAACTACTGTGCTATACCTTCTTCCTACAACTGTCAGTGGAGATATAAAAAGCACAAAGAACATCTCTGTTCCCCAGTATTTTAATAAGACAATGACAATCAAGGATTACTTTCTGTAGGGATAATTCATAATAAGAAGCCAAGAGAAGCATCCAGAAGCTACAACTCCCTAGAGCTACAATCAGCACTTCTACGTTCCCACTTATACTGAGTTCACCCATCTAAGCAGCTCTTGGTCATTGGACTCAGGGTACTAAAGAATATTAGCTCTATTAATTGTCCAGCTTTTTCAATGACACTTGCTTTGAAGATTTTGTTCAATGTTATATTTCTACCTGTTTACTCTGCCAATTAATTCCAGAATACATTGGGCTAGGATAGAAATTCCCGGTGACATTCTTTGTGATTGTACAGATGTATGTAAGAGAAGGCATAATTCTTCTATTTTAGTTTCTGAAAACAAGGATGAGATAGTAAGCATGCAACAGACCAATGATCCAACAAAAAAAAATAAACCCTAAAAAAACTAAACAAAATATAAAAATAACTCCCCAAATCTGCTTAAAGTCATCTAAAAGCTGATGAAGCACTGAAGAGAAGAAAAACCAAGATACCAGATTGGCGAGCATTATGGAAAAGTTAACTGTATTTTCTCTGGGGACATTAGCTGATTGGATGTGCAAGGCAAGAAGACAAGAACCTGGATTTTGCCTGGGCAGAGAACAGTCTCAGTGGGTTAAAGAAGCAATGTTTGGAATTTAAGGAGCCAAGATTCTTGCGAGAGAGGAGATGCTGAGAAGAGAGTAAGATACACAGCCAGTCTTCAAAGACTTTTGCCAAATTATGAACTTGTGAACTTGTGCATGAGGAATGCTGAGAGACTAAGCAGAAAGTCTCTACAGTCTATGGCCATACCTTCCTGAACGCACCCCATCTTGTTTGATCTCAGAAGCTAAGCAGGGTTGGGCCTGGTTAGGACTTGGATGGGAGAAAGTCTCTGTAAAGTATAGCAGAGGTCTGGCTACTTCATGCTGAGGAAACTATTATAGTTCAGAACATTCTGAGAGAATGGCCCAGGATATACAAGGGTATGAAAGACTAAAGAAAACCTGTGATGTATGGGTCCTTGTTGAAACTGTAAATCAACCCTTATCCAGTCCATTTCATGACTGAATTAAGGTGATCAGCTTCTATTCCTTGCAATTAACAGAGGAAAAACTGAACCTTTTCAGGAAGAATAAAATATCATCTATTTTTATTTATAAAATCCATCATTCAATCAAAAGTTACTAGAATGTCAAGAAACAAGATCCTATCAAGATCCTGAAAACCAAGAGAGTAGACAATAGCTAAAACTAGACTATAAGTTCCAGGAGGACTGCAAGTCATTTTTATCTATTCTTTTCACTGTTGATACCCCATAGTCTGGAGCACTGCCTACATGTGGTAAGTAATCAGTAAACATCTGCTTAATTTATGAATTAACAAAGTGACCCAAGTTCATATTTATTGCTATATTACACAAGTAAACCTGTATATACTAAACCCTAGAAATAGCAATAAGATTGACATGAAGAACTTTTACATGTTTTCAAATTGTTTTCTGTGTTTACTTCACTTCTCCAACTACATTTGTATCTCCTTGATGGCAGAATAACTATCCTATATTCATATAGAAAGATACATCAGCATAAAACAGGAGAATGTCCCTCCTCTGTGGCTGTGGGCACATGGTGAGTACTGGATGCCATGATAAAGCAGAGGAGATAGCATACAGAATTTAATTAAGAATAAATTAATTATTTAAAAGTGAAGAGTGATATTTAAAATGTATTAGATATTCTAGACATTTCTCCAAAGAAGACACACAGATGACAAACAGGCGTAAGAAAAGATGCTCATCATTGCTAATCATATTAGAGAAATAAAACTCGAAACTACCTAGAGATATCATCTCACATCAGTCAGAATGGCCATCATCAAAAAGTCTACAAACAATAAATGATAAACAGAGTATGGGAAAAAATCCTCCTACACTTTGGTGGGAGTGTAAATTGGTACAGCCACTATGGAGAACGATATGGAGTTTCCTTAAAAGGCTAAAAATATAGGTACCATACAATGTAGCAATCCCATTCCGAGGCATATATCTGGAGAAAACATGGTTTGAAAGGATATATGCACCCCAATATTCATTGCAGTGCTGTTGACAATATCCAAGATATGGAAGCAACCTAAATGTCCATTGACAAATGAATGGATAAAAACGATGTGGTACATACTATACAGTGGAATACTACTCAGTCATTAAAGAGAATGAAGTAATGTCATTTGCAACAACATGGATGGACCTGGAGGTTATTACATTAAGTAAAGTCAGACA